GACATAGTATAATGTATGAACATATTGAGGACTCGCACCCAAAACCATAATCAATATCTTTTTCATCAGAAACTTTATTATTGTGTTCGCCATCGTCAGCAATAACAAGCGCATCATCATCATCGTTTGTCTTGTTATTATCATTACCGTCGTTATCGGTGTTTTTCTCCTCGCACACACCACTCTCCTTATCAACATCCATACTCACTGTCGCCGCCGGAGAACTGACGGACTCTTCGTCTGGTGCACTCTCCAATTGCAATTCGAGCTCTTCCAGGCCATGATTTGGATGCTTTTGTTTCATGTGTTTTATAATGTTAATCATATAATAGTATCTGACATCACAGAAACGACAATGTAAATAAGTGCCATATGGCAAGTGCTTAAACCGATGTGTTTGGAGGTTAACAAAATTTGCACCGTTGACACGTTCCTTACACTGTATACAAATGTGTAGGTGATCATTGATCTTTTTGAATTTCAATGATTCCATACTATTTAGCTTGTGTTCCTTTTCGATGTGATCACGCCATGGATGCCATTTTTCGAATTTTATGCCACATTGTGGACATTGTATGATGTAGGGACACTTCTCATTCGACGTCACCGAGAAGTTGAGATTCTTCAACGGTTTATTGTCGTCACTTTGTTGACCGTATATATTACGCACCGAGTTCTTATAACTTTTTGTTTTGACATGATGTGTTGCGCGTTCATTGCCCATCAGTGGACATCTATTGGTGGCACGATTTAGATGCTTAAAGAACATTTGCTTGCGCACAAAGACACCACCACATTTGGTGCAACAGAAAGATTTATACGGCAAATGGCGGAATTTATGCGACTGCAGTTGACCTATAGCGCCCTTGGTATGAGTTACTGTGACTCGTTTATAACACTCCAAACATATATAATGGTGTGCGTCTAATTGACGGAAATTCAAACCTTGTCGACTGTTAAGATCATGTACAGTGACGATATGTTGACGCCACAGGGCATGTGTGTTAAACGGTTCATTGCACTGCGGGCAATAGTAGGTAATTGTTTCGTGTTCTACTGCATTGTGTAAGGAAATGAGGCTTTCAGTTGATAACGGCTTGAAAGTGTTAGAAGTAGTTGCTTGCATGTTATATGTATTACGCATTTGCGATGCTGATGATATAGCTGGGCTTGAGCTGGACGATTTTCGTGGATGTGCAAAATTGTGTTGCGTACACAGATGTGTGACCACATTAGGTTTATGATTGTAGCATGTGCTGCAGAGCCGACATTTTATATATAACTTATATGGTAAGTGACGAAATTTGTGGTCTTGTAGACCTTTCAATTTAGCACTGTTCACAATTTCCTTACATTCCAAACACTGGAAATGAAATTTATCGATTTGTTTGAAATTCAACTCATATCTGCGATCGAAATAGTGTATATCGTTTATATGACGACGCCATTCGTATTGAGTTTTAAATTCCTCACCACATGCAGGACATAGATAACAAAAATATTGTTCAATATTTGGAGTATCATCAGCGGTGTTCATTTTAACTTCCTCATTGCCAGTAGGAACCAATAGTAAATCATCATCATCATTGTTACCCCCACTAGTATTCGATGAATGATGTTTAATTATATGGTCTTGCAGCGCTTCTTCTGACTCAAATGTACAATAACACCTACCGCAGACATTTGTTTGGGTTGGTTTTTTGAAGTCATGTTGTTCCCGGGTATGTTTTTGTAATTCTTGTACTGTAGTGAAGGTTGAGTAACAATCCGGGCACACATGTCTTCTTGTGGGCATGGCAAAACTATTATCATATGTATCATCTCCATTTCTCCCTCCAAACGAGGTGTTTTCATTACTATCTTCGTCCAAAAATTTTATCTCAAATATTACGCCGTTATGACGAACGATTTCTTTAACAGGTGCTTTACGAGATATGCTCACGTGTTTAGATGTGGACTTTTGGTATGTTGCTAATAAAGGTGGCCGTATGATCTTATTTGCTTTAGCTAATGCTGCTGTCGCAGCCGTTTTGGAATTAATATGGTGTACTTTACGAAGATGCTTCACCAATCCTTTGCGATCTGTATAAGATTTATCACATAAGCGACAGCGTATGTACGCTTTGTGTGGTAAATGTGTAAAGTAATGTTGTTGAGCGTTTTGCACACCGTAAGCATTTGTAATTACTTTACCGCATAATCGGCATTGCAACTGGTGCTCGTTCACAGCCTCAAAACAAAGTGTTTTCAAATCGGTATAATGATGTGCTTTAACAATGTGCTTTCTCCACATTTTTCTTTCGAAAAACTCTTTACCACATTTAGGACACAAATAATCTATTTGTGTTTCATAAATATCACGTAGATCGCCTTTAAATTGGTCTTCAGCTAACGTCTGCTCGTCTTCATAGTCGTTTGATGGCGCAGCGTATGGGTCCAAGGAACGACAGTCTTGGCTGTCATCCATATCAGCGTCGAGTTCATCATCAAGCCGATGTTGGTTGAGCAAGTGTTTTATTATATCCTTGTAGGTAATAAACGAGCGTAAACAAAGCTTACAACGTAACCATGTTTTGCAAGGAAGATGTGAAAATTTGTGTTGTTGCAGTTGGTCTATTGCATTGTCAGCCAAAACCTGAATGGCATAAATAAAACGACATCAAAATATAACACTCGTTTATATTTAAAAAACATATATTAATATAGGACGTAACTAAAATTCTTGCTACTTACCCGGTTGCATTCCATACATTCAGCAGTTGAATTAAAACGTTTTTGAAACCCAAGGCCACTGATTGTGCAAAAGTTATGCATTTCTTGTACATGTTCCTGCCATTCATACTTTGTCATGAATTCCGTACTACAAACTGGGCAAATATATTGTATATGTTTTTCACATTGTTTCTCTTCAACACTTGGTCGCTGTTCGAAAACATGTGTAGAACTTCGACTTAATGCATCTTCTAGTATAGAGGTTCGCGGATATTTGGATTTACTCCCTGATTGTACCAGCAAACTTTCCGTGTCCTGATCGTCCGGATCAAATGGTTCATTTTTTACCTCAACACTATCACATGTGTTCTCAAAAATATCAACAGCATTTCCTTTTATATCCTTTATTTCTAACTGAGCATTAGTTACTGCAGGGACTGATGCTCGCTTGTTCTCATGCCTATTCACAGGTGTCTTTTCGCTTTGCATCATTAATATCACTTCTTCACGATGACACAAACGCAAGTGTACAATTAAATCCTGCCGATATTTATAACGACGATGGCAGATTTTACATTTAGTACAGCGATGAGGCAAATGAGTAAATTTATGTTTTAATAAATTTTCCATTGCATGCATAGCAATGGGTTTGTTGCATTCTAAACATCTGTGATACAACTTATCTATCGGTACAAAATTTAATCCCCGCCGAGTATTATATTCATGCACTCCATTTATGTGACCCTTCCAAACGCTTTGCGTATCGAATTCCGCACCGCAAGCCGGGCATATATACATTATGGCCATATCATAGTTAATTAACGCATCTTGAGGATTTTTTGTAGAAGTTGATTTCACTATAGCCGACAAGGAACGTGTTTTCGCAATTGGTTCAATCCCAAAATTAAAAATAGTGTTATCATCTTCAGCTTCTCCATCCTCATCTCGCGTTGTTGTCATTTGTTGTAATAAAGATTCCGGCATTATGTAGCTATTATCATCTTCACCATCATTGACAATTTCTTGAGGTTCACTTTTTATTTTTGCTTCCTCTTTATTGTTACCATCCTTAGCGTTGTTATCGTCATCCTCTGTATACTCATTTGAGAACATGAATAGTTGATCCATTTTTAACACATTTACTTTTTCGAATCAATAATAGATTATTCCTTTTTGTAATATAAATATATTTTAATTATTGCAAAAGTCAATTCAAATTTTTCATGGCTTTCTACTTTACTCACTTTCTGTCTTATATTTTAAGCTACTTTTTGAAGATCCCTTTCTTCTTTTTCGAATTATAATGGCAGCCAGCCCACGATTTTTCACTTACAAGTATACACAACGCTTTCACTGAAAACTGAAATTCAATTCATCTTTTAAATACTCAATATGACTTTGGACTTGGAAACAAATACAAAGATCCATGAAAGGTTTTGCAAAATATTTATTCGAAAATTTCTCAAAATCTGGAAGATACTTCCACCATTTTTGCTTAGCGGTGTACTGAGATTGTTCAAAAGATGCTAAGCTGGTTTTTGGCTTTGAGGTTGTTCAGTACTTGCGAAATCGGCGAAAAAGTGGCAAGAGCGCCGTTTAATAAAGCCTTAATCAATGTTCATACGTTGAACTTTTTTATGGACAACAAGGTAAGTACCTGCTATTCACTGAATATATCTTTACATGATAAGTAATTTTTAAATAAAGACATATCTTAATACAGTTACAAAATTATTGTCATTATGTACAACCATAGTTGATATAATGACTCAATTATATAAGGTTGTGTTACATCGGCGCATGCTTCCTCTTTGGAAAAAAAAATAATTTTTTGCTTACATTTTGATGATTTTGTGTAATTTTCAATCTATTCGTATTCAATCATTACACAAAAACGCATTTTCATTGGTAGACAATTTTTTCAAATTTATTATAAAAATAATACAAAACGGATGATTTTGACTAATTAATTTAAGAAAATATTTTTAAATTTAAATTACAAAAATATTATTGAAGATTGAACTACTGAATTTTTGAATTTAATAAAACGATAACTTCCAAGGGAGATAAATATTGATTATATCCACCTGTAGGAACTGAGGTATCACTCAATTGATAAAGGTACTAAAGTGTCCTTTCCCATATCTAAGTATTTGATACATTTGTTTACACAGCCATCATGCCGGTGAAAATAAATAAATGTAATTATATTTTAAGAGTGCACTTACGGTGCTTAGAGATAGTAATATCAAATATAATTATTTAATGTAAATAATGGTTTTAAATTATAAATATAAACCATAATGAGATGGGCAACTCTGAGCATATTCCATTTTCAAATTACTGCGAAGTTAGCTGCGAAATTTTTAAGACAAAATTCCGATTTATTTTACTCTAAGCTGCATGTTAAACTATACCGTTGGGAATATATTCAATTATTAATGTGTGCAAATGGAGAAAACTTTTCATCCAACTTCGATCGCTGCAAGTTGAATGACACACGTCTCTGGAGTCCTAGTGAATTAGTAAGTAGCTGTCCCAAAGCGAATGATAACTATGCCTGCATTGTACTGAACCAATCACTCCACTTGCCGACCGATATTGCAAAAAATATATGGCAAAATGGTAAATTATATGAAGTTTTACTAAATATAGCAATTCTTATTAATTCATATATTTAATTGTAATTGAATAGCTAAAATACGTTGTTTAGTAGATGGTGGTGCAAATTGTTGGAAAGAATTTATACACAAGTCAAATGAAAGTCTAAATTTTCCAGAATATATAACAGGAGATTTTGATTCAATTACGCAAGAAACAAGGAAATATTTTAATTCTCCTTATATTAAGTACCAACATACACCTGATCAGAATGAAACCGATTTTACAAAAGCGGTGCTGTTTTTACAGCCCCAGTTGGAAGCAAATGACATTCATAAGGTTATTGTATTTCAAGAAACAGCAGGACGTCTGGATCACATTATGGCCAATATTAACACATTACATAAGCTCCAAAGCGATATTCTAAGTATTTATCTCTTGAGTAGTTCATCTTTAAGCTGGTTACTTTTGCCGGGTAAACATAAAATTATAGTTCCAAAGGAACTGGTCGACTGCCAACATTGGTGTGCATTAATACCTATTGGCAGTAAAGCGGATAAAGTAACTACTACAGGATTAAAGTGGAATCTAAGTAAGTTTTTTGTTTAAACTTTTTGGAAATATCTAATTTCTAAATTCCTTCAGCACAATCTCCTTTGGAATTCGGTTTTATGGTAAGCACATCAAACACATATGCATCTAAAGAAGTTTGTGTGGATACGGATAGTAGCTTAATTTGGTCTATGGGATTGTTCGCGGTGGACGAGCTATAATAGTACTTATATAAAAACAACCGTTAGTTTGTACTGTTTCTACTTATGTTGATAATTGTTATGTTTTATATAAGTTAATGTAATTAATTGCCTTGACTTTGTTAAAATAATATATTTTTCTATTTAATGTATGTATATATGAAATCTTCGAAATAGTAGACTTACTCTTCAAATGTATTTTAAAACAAATTAGTAAATTACAAAATGATCTAGTGATGTCATGGGCGGCTTTATACTTATAAATAGATTTATGCACATAAAAAATGCAAACACAAGTAGAAATTTAGTTAATAAAAATCATGATTACAATCAATCAATATTGGCGTGACTTTTGCTGCAACAACAACCACAGCAAGTGTGGATTTCTTTTACGAGAACCAACTGTCATTTAATAAATATATTACATAATTATGATGAGTTCAATATTTTATTGTTAATAAGATTAATCTAGGGAATTCATTTTGAATATAAAAATTTTAATATTAATGTAACAGAACGAAAAAATAGTTTGGAATTGTTTGTTTTCATTATCAGATTTTATCACGCGTTATTAAACGTTTCATGCGTACATGTGCCTGTCTTAAATGAATTAGCAATTTCATGTTGTTCGAGATAGTGGAGCTGTTGTTGGCATTATGACCACACATTACGGTACGTAACCCATTTGAACGCACTCCACATGCCTGCGCCTGATGGAGCTGTAGTCGCTCCTTTGTTGTGAAGTATTTCATACAAATTGTGCATGGATGGAAATGCAATGTGCCTTCACTATTGTTGGGTGCTGTATTGTTTTGAACCAAATCTTTTTGACTACCATGACATTGTTGAAGATGATGCAACATTTTTGGCTTACTCGATTTAGTTTTGGAACACAGTTTGCACTTTAGATATGCTTGGAATGGCATATGGGTGAAACGATGACGTTGTAGTTCAGCAAATTGAGTAGTATGTTGCACATCCATACAGTCGAGGCAGAGGTAAGACTGTTTATTTTCGAGTAATTGAAAATTAGTTTGAATTGCATTCTCAATGTTATGTTCTTTAAAAACGTGTGTTCGCCAGCTAGTTTGTATGTCGAATTCGTTTCCACATTCTGGACAAAGATAAATAATATTTTCCTCAAAAATTGCTTTCTTGTTAACATCATCGGCTGCAGACATTTTTGTTATTTTCGTATTTTTTTCGTTTGATATTTGTTCATTTTTAATTCTTGGTGATATCTCAGCTTCGCTAAGCTTTAATCGTTTACGTGGTGGTGTCGAAATAAAATTCTGTTGTTCGTTATTGTCATCAATTGCATCGATTTCAATGCTTATGACCAGCTCTTCATCTGGCTGATTTTGTTGTTTGGTATTTTCATTTTTAACTAATTCCTTTGATTCATTTTTTTTGTTGATTGTAGTAGAATTTATTTCATCCTCAATAGATTCAAATACATCGGCACACAATTCTTCAAAGTCATCTTCTGTAACTGACTCTGTGGGAGTGGTACCAGATTTATGCTGCACCATATCAAAATCCTTAATTATTCTTATATTACTTCGTCGTAATGTACCAGTGGTTGATGACGCAGAGGTTTGCTTTTGAGCGGCAAGACGAGCCTTTTCACTAGCATATGTTTGCTTCTTAACTGGTCGCCCGCGACTATTTTCCCCACTTGTGTCCCCTAGCTCATAACTATTTGTACATTTATAACGTCTCAAAATTGCATCTAATTCTGTATTGAGGCGATCGTTTATTTTCGCTCCCCATTCAATTGGTTTCTTGATGTATGGTTTGGCTTCGTTAAAATGACGCGGATGAGCGTACACGAAATGTCGAAATATTTCTGATTTGAATGATTTCTTTACCATACAAAATGCGCATTTAAAATATAATCGAAAAGGAAGATGTGTAAAGCGATGTCGTTGCAATTTTGACTGCTCATTGGTGTAGAGCAGTTTACGACATTGCAAGCAGTAGTGGTTGCGGGAACCGGAGATACGATGCATTCTTAAATCATCAGATGTAGATGGATGAATGTCCAAATGTTTTAGCCACTGCTCAAACTTTTCTATAACCTTACCACAGTGTGGACATATAAAACGTAAATAGAATTCTGTATTTAAACGTGGATCGCGCACCATTTTCTGTTCGGCTGTTTGTGCAAAGTTGCTGCTGGTTGTGGTTTCTCCCGCGACATTCCTCATCTTGTCTGCCATTATAATTTGTCGACTATGGAAGCGATAGAGATGTTCGCATAATGCACGCTTACGCGTGAAACCACCTTTGCAATGTCGACAACGATATGTGCGATTAAATGGCAAGTGTAGAAAGCGATGATATTGGAGCAAGGCAATGGCCTGGTTCGCGTTAGCCACCCATTTATGGCAAACCTGACATTCATGGAAGCTTTCACTGATTTCTTTGAAATCAAAATCTTCTGGAGTTTTATTAATGTAATCATGTTCCTCGTTCAAATGTCGTCGCCAGTCCTGTTGTGATTCGAATTCTACGCCACATTCGGGACACACAAATGTCATGTGCTTTTCTAAACGAGGATTAGCAAAATCGTTATGACCATTGTAGGTATTACTGGCACTTGCACTGGACATTTTTCAGTCATTTAAAGTTTCCTTTTTTCTTAATATTTGATAATTAAAAAAGCCGCGAATCAGCAAAATACCACTTTGAGCATCGTATAATTTCATTGGTATATACGAAAAAATGAATTCCTTATTTTAAGTTGCCACTTGCAACAAATTGATAAACAGCTGTCAACATTTTCTGAGGCATTCAAAAAAATATTCGAAACAATATTCATTTGAAAATTATTCGTTCTTAATGTTGGGTAAAATATATAGCTAATTTACCCTGGATTATTTTATTATTTATTAAGCAATTAACACGGATTTATCTATGACACGGGTTTGTTTTGTTTCTGTAAATAACTCAGAGAAAGCGTTATAATATATGTTGCTGCCTGTTTCGAAATTAATATTCTTAGCGTTGCCACTGCGGTATTTATTTATTTATATATGCTTGGGCTCATGAGCTCGAATACGATTCGAAATATATTTAATATGTTCATTGCAAACGTATACATACGTGTTTTAACGCCCACTATTGAAATTGCCATTGAGTGTATTATGTCAAATTATATATCTATGATTTTATATTGTTACGTATGTTTCACTACATTTCGCAAACGCATTATTAAATGTCAATCAATCATCTTATTTTCTTTCCACGACATTTATTTCTGTCAGGTGCTGTCCTCTTTAGATTTCATGTACTGCTGAATTTTCCCCAAAAAGAAAACCTTGTAGGATTTTTGCGTGAGCATCAGACCGTAAAAAGTTTATAAATAACGATTTTTCTTATTAAAACGCACAAAAGGAAGTTTTTACAGGAAAACTATTATTTGATGGCGAGTAATTTAACTTTTAAGTAAACGATATCAAAACGAATTCAATATAGTTAATGTGTGAGTGGTGAAAATTGTCGAGCAAGGTGTGAAAACCTAATCGGTACTACGCTGTGTCTCCAAACCACCCACCCGCCACACAAAAGAAAAAATCGAATGTGTGATTAACGACGATAAACTGTTGTTTTTGCCATTTCTTGCCAACAATAAAGGTATAAACACGTCTCCTTACACGAAATTATATTAGTTGTTTACGTAAAAAAGACTAATATTTTGCCCACTATTTTATGACTGTTTTTGAAAATAATTAAATAAATGAATTGATAATTAATTTCACATATTAAGTATACAAGCAAATAAAAAGTGTACGTATGATACGCAATTGAACAAGCTATCACTAGAAATTATATACTTAAATTAGTAATTTGTACAAAAGTTGGGTAAAAAGGGAAGCAAAACCATACAAGCTGTGTCGTCAGCGACGTACAAACGGACCACAACAAACAGGCAACAGACAAATAATTTATATTTTTCAGCAACGTATTATTTAGTGCAAGCGTACTTTGGGTGGTGGTTTAGGTTTGGGTATTTTGGCGTGAGCCCGTCATGTCCGACATCATGAACATCGATAGCATTATTTCACGATTATTAGAAGGTTGGTATCAACAAGTTTCTCTAGAGACTATGCTAACGCAATTAAATTTTTATAAATAATTAATTTGTTACATCAACTTATATACGTTCAGTGCGTGGCGCACGACCTGGAAAAAATGTTCAGCTATCTGAAAGTGAAATACGTGGTTTATGCCTCAAGTCACGTGAAATATTCCTTTCGCAACCTATTCTACTGGAACTGGAAGCACCTTTGAAAATTTGCGGTAAGTCTTTAATTATTTATGAATTTATTTAAGTAAACTGACGCCAATTGGCATTATACAACTAAAATAAAATGTATAAAAAAGATTTATGAGGTGTAGGATCAACAATAAATTAAATCAACAATTACAATATTAACTGGAGTATTTTATTAGATGTAATTTGATTTCTAGAATAAAGACCCATAGTGAGCCACTATAACAGTCCACTTCAGTTCTCGCACAGGCGCGAATTCGAAACAAATGTTGATCTCAGGCACGTCAATCAGACCATTCACTACTTTGAAGCAAAATTTTAAGATTATACCTGATCACGTGCTTGCAGGTTGGTGACATTGAAATGGTCGTAGATGTCATTTATTGAGGTATGTTCTCAAGAGCGGCCACAATGGTAACCCAAGCTCTTACAGAGATTAATTTTTATTTTTCGATACGTTTTTATTGGGGTGTCGGTGAGGGAAGGGCAAATTCCGGAGTCGTATTCCGAAACTGGCAGAATCAAACCTTTTGTGAAGAGTAAACTTAGTCCCAAATACTTTAATAATAATAATAAAACATAAGAAAAACAGATAAAACCCACAATATAGTCATTATGAAAACATTCGAAATAGAAATGTATTTACGTAACTAGAAAGAGATGAGACGTTTTTAATTCCGCATTAGTCATTTATGAAATGTTTAATAAATGCTTTAATAACAATAACAAAAGTATTAGTAAAAGGTGAAAATAAATGTAGATAATCATGCATGACTAGAACATTTAGTTGTAATACATATTTCTGAGTACTGTAGATTATTTTAGCATCTAAGTTATGACATTGAAATTAATATATACATATATATTACTTTTTTGCTTTCAATAAAAAAGAAGTGTTTCAGTTGGCATTTGACAAGAAAGAAGATGTATGAACACTCTTTTTCCGGCTCAAAGCATTTTATGTGCCTTTTGGTCGAAATTAAAGTAAGCGGGGAAATTTTTGTTTTATCTGCTGTGTCTCTTTTTCGTCTAGAGAATTTCAATGATTTGTCAACGAATTTTGTCCATCGTCCTTAGTTTTGTATAGATATGAATATTGTGCATATTTGTATAGTAATTCTCCCCTCAATTGTTGTTGTATTACCATGTCATAGAATTTTACTTTTATTGTACCTATCTGATGATCGTACTGGAACTTAACATTTTACTTTATATTTGCGTAGGCGATATCCATGGTCAATATTACGATCTGCTTCGTCTTTTTGAATACGGCGGTTTTCCACCAGAATCGAATTATCTATTTTTGGGCGACTATGTCGATCGTGGCAAGCAGTCATTGGAGACTATTTGTCTGTTACTGGCTTACAAAATTAAGTACTCGGAGAACTTTTTCTTGTTGCGTGGAAATCACGAATGCGCCAGCATAAATAGAATTTACGGGTGAGTACATGCTTTTTTAATTTTGATTAGCAAAGTCGAATTTACTAAACGAATTTCGTCTTTTCTGTTTTTGCAGTTTTTACGACGAGTGCAAACGGCGGTATACAATAAAGCTGTGGAAAACGTTTACAGATTGCTTTAATTGTTTGCCGGTCGCGGCTATTGGTAAGTTTATACATATTTACATGACGTACGTCAAATGCTTTTTGAGTGCACACTTGGTTTGTCTTTGTTCGACAACTTTAAATATTGTTAGCGAGAAAAAAATTATGATTTGAATAAAATTAAAAACAATTAAAATTTTAATATCATTAAATTTCTACTTTGCAGTTGATGAAAAAATTTTCTGCTGTCACGGTGGTCTCAGTCCCGATTTGTCGTCAATGGAGCAAATTAGACGCATTATGCGTCCAACAGATGTGCCCGATCAGGGTTTACTATGTGATCTCTTGTGGTCAGATCCCGATAAGGATACAATGGGTTGGGGAGAAAATGATCGTGGTGTGAGCTTCACATTTGGCGCTGAGGTGAGCTCTCTTTAGATTCTGCAATTACACGTCTAAAAAATTCCAAAACATTACAGGTTGTTGGGAAATTTTTACAAAAGCACGACTTCGATTTGATATGTCGTGCGCATCAGGTTGTCGAAGATGGTTATGAGTTCTTTGCTAAAAGGCAATTAGTCACACTCTTTTCGGCACCAAATTACTGTGGTGAATTTGACAATGCAGGTATGTGATCCACGCATAAACTTGATATACTTAAGAAATGCATTCAATAGCGTCAGTAAATTAAAAAGCAAATGTGAGATCTGCTTTGTTAAGCTGCAGGAATCTGCTAATATTTAATTGAGATGTGGTACAAATGACTGCTAGATGCTAGTACTTTTATAACCCACATGTAACGAAACTAATATTTTTCCAAAACTTTGCGAATCAATGCAATTCTACAATGATAAAATAGTAATTATTATTTCTGAAACGCTTTTTTCAATTGTTCGATTAAATTATTTTATCCCTTCTATTTTCATTCGCCCAGGTGCAATGATGTCTGTGGATGATACACTTATGTGTTCTTTCCAAATACTGAAGCCGGCTGATAAGCGCCGCTTCGTCTATCCGAATTTCGGCAGTTCTGCGCGTCCGTTAACTCCGCCACGCGGTGCCAACAATAAAAATAAAAAGAAATAAATAAATGTGCAAACTTAGTAGAATTAAAAAGACGATAAAGGCGTAATTAAAAAAATTGTTAAATAATGCAGAAAACGAAAACATGAAAAAGAGATGTAAAGCAAAAACATAAAAGGCACTGCAATAACAAAACCTTAAAAATAGTGCAAATAAAAGTAAGAAGGGCGAAGACGAAACAGCTGTAAAATAGGCAGCTGCCACACAAAATAACATTATTTGTATTTGTGTAAGTCTATACACAATAATAATCATCAACAACACAACACATAAAAAATCAGAACTTTTTGTTGACAGTACCGCATTTTTACACTATTTTTTAAGTAGCTCCTTGCTTAAAGGCTTTATTTTTTATGCAAATGCACTTTATGTTCGCAACATTATACTAAAAGACATGCGTTCAATTCAATTCATTTTCGAAGACATATATTTTAAGGCTAAATTCGAAAATACAAACAAACGGGTTGAAAATAGTGTTGCGAACAGTTATTGTTAAATTTAAAGGGGTTTTTTAGTATAAGCTAAATGTGTAATTTCGAATATTCGCATGTATATTAGACATTAAGCACAAACAACAACAAAGTACATGTAATGTGAAATATTTTCATCCTAGTTCGGACTTATTTTCACAAAACAAGATATATAACTTTACCATAGCACTTATAATTTGTAAATGTGTGTTACAGAGATTCCTGAAACATTAAAGATTTAAAAAATATATTTTCTTTCGAAGTACAAAAATTGTTTTTTCGAATTTGCCAAACGGTAGATATATAATATGTACATTAAAAGCTTTAAAATACACGTTTGTTTATGTATAAGGATTGTCAACTTATAAAATATACGTATTGATTATGAAGGGAAATAAAACTATAATATATTATGGCACTCAGTTCAAAATGGAAATAAATTGATTAAAAAATTGAAATTTCATTATTATTGTTGGTCATACACGGTATGTTCGATAATGTTGTAATTAGCAAGAAAGAAGAATACTTTACTATTTTAAAAAAGAAACCATATTTCGAAAAACACACACACACAGCAAACACTTTTAAAAACTGTAGGATATTATTGTTGATTTTGTATGTATTGTTTCATGAATCATGTTTTGAGTGCCGACAAACAGATTTTGATTGCGTGCATAAAAAGCTTCTTTCCTGGGATAATATATTTGACAATTGTTGCTGAAGACGTAATCGGACAGCCGTAATTCGATTTGGCGAAAAATGTCATGAAATTTATTATATTTATACAATTTTAATACTTAATAATTAAAAAGTAATTCAAAAACTTAATTTTCTATATTTTTGTGGAATATTTGGCTATAATTGTATAACTTAACATTATTTTGAACAAAAACTATATGTGCTTTGGTTGCCTATGTACTATTTTAAACAATCGATATCGTTGAAAATTCATTCTACATATGTACAATACATATATGTATGTATGTATGCGGTACACATTTATGATTTCTCGCTTCTACCAAAAATTGTTTGTTAACTCAATGTTTGTTTATACAAAAATAGATATACATTAAGCTGCATGCCACATTTTTTTACTGTTATTGAAAACTTTCAAACACACACTCATAGGACGCACGGAACATTTTAATAAAATTAACTGTATGATTTTCTCAATTAGTTTTAAGTTTAGCAGTTGCATTGATTCACACCAAACACAAAAATAACAACAACAAATGCAAATAATTGTAAGTAGTAGTGGACTTAACAAATACAAAAACAAAACGCGGAGCAAGACAAACTCCAAAACGAATGCATATGCACTACATTTGATATAAAATTTGTAAAATAACAACAACAAAAATAGCCATAAGAAAAATATGTGTGTAAAAATAAAAAAGCTATGAAATATATTTGCAAAAAATAAGACAAGCTAACAAAAACTAGATTTGTACGATCAACTCAACACAAGAAAATAACGACAAAAATAATGCGTTAATATATTGTTACCAGCTAGTTTAAATGTACAAGTGCATACATAAACTATTCTATTTAATCGAAAATAAACCACTTTCCACTTTATATGCCACTAAAACATTGTGAACTAGTTTGTATCTTGACATACTTTGAACATCGCTGGTTAAATGATGACACTCGAAAACTTGCCGGTTCAAAATTGTTTTCTGTACATTGGCTATTAATACTATAAAATTGTTTACTGTCTTGTCGATATATCGCAAATAACATTTTGGAAAAAATAAAATTTTTGAAATTATATAGCAAATTCTCGAAAATAATAATAAGCATATTTTTTAGCGCATTTGTTATCCATTTGTCTCTTAGTTGTTCTGTAAATAAGTTGGTTTTAAGCAATTGTGAAAAAATTTAAATTTGTCAAATAAAAATATTAAATTAAATTGTTTCTTTTTTATATGTATATCAAACTATTTATTTATGTCATACAAATGGAAAATTGTCTAATCACTGAAAAAAAATTCATATATTTTTAATTCGTCATAAATAACACTAAAACTTTCAAATTTATCGGAAAATTAGGTATTTGTGAAAGTAGAAGTTTTAATTGCATTTAATTTGGTATGCCATTGGTATCATTCAGATAGTAAATTTTCAAGATTACAGACAAGACACGACTGAAGAAATTCATATGGTTATTGGTTTGATTCCTGGAAAATTCAAGAACTACATATGTATTTATAAATGTACATATTAAGTGTATTTATCAATAGTTTGGTATATCTAGTTCATATTTGTTATATGAGCTAATTCGAAAATATCAGATCTTGGACAAAACCCTTTTTGTAATAAAAATGGCTGTAAGTCTACAATTGCATTTGATCATATTTTTACTAAAAAAAATTAAAATTATATTTCCTAAAGTAAAAATGCTTCGATTCTTTGAAATTATAGATGCAAATTTGAATCAAAATTGTTTACTAATACTGATACATTTGTATGTGCATATATACACATTTAATTAAAGACATTCTTTAATATTCATATTGGTTGAATATATATATGTATATAATAGTTGTTAAAACATGAAGCTTAATAAATCATGGAAAAACGCAATAAAAATTTGAATAGTAAAATACAAATTTTTTAAACTATTTTATTCGGAAAAAAGTATTTCCGACATTTAGCTGGCTTCTAAAAGATGAAATGTAAATTTTAAAAATTATATATTAATGCTTGAGATTCGTTTCGAGGAAATTTTCAAAAACAATAAATTTTGTTTTGAAATTGGAGCGGCATTAGTAAATTATTTTGTTTCGTAAGCTCCACCTCCGATATACTTGATGAGGTGTGCGAAAGCCGGAACATCCAATACAAATGAAAGCAATTTGTTATGTTTTATCAACGTTACAAAATATAGAGCTTCATCAACGAGAAAAAGGTTTCTATTGACTCCAAATAAAATATTTAATCATAAAAAAAAAAATGTAATTTTCGAGCGAATAAAATATAATTATAATCTATTGGTAACAATCAAAAAATGTGAGCAACAGCAAAAAAGTGTAAGCTAAATGAAATGATAATTTTGTTCAAAATATATTTAATGCGTATTTTTTATTTTATTAAAGCATATTAAAAGAGTTGCATTCCAGTGGAGTGTGCGCAAAAGACAAATAGAAAAAATGCATCTTTAAGAACAATATTTAACGAAAAATTTTGCATGATTCTCGACTTGCATCTTCGAAAGTCTAGAGCTTTCTCAAGTGCTACATGTTGCAAAATTCATTTGAGACTTATTTAATTAAGTTCGAAAAACATTTTTTGTCATTTGGAGTTAATTTTTATGTAAAAAAATTTTACAATATTTAATGACAGACACAAGAAACTTGAAAATTATGAAGAGAGAAAAGAATATGCAGAGTAAAAGTGAATTTTTAATTTGTTTGCTCAAATGAAATATGCTCAAAAGTTTATATAATTGCAATAGTTAGAAGAGAGAAAGAAGAAACTTTTAGAATTTTGAAAAGAAAAAAAAATTGATTCTATTCAGACTAATTCAAAATCCCACTCACATATTTACATAAAAGAAATACATATATTTGGATAACTTTTTTGTTGAATTCAAAAGCTTAATGTGCTTTGGCCGCATCATTCAAGTGTTAACAACTTTCAGCGTTAAATAAAGAAATGAGTGCGAAAGCTCTTACCATGTATATTCGGTAAAATATAACCAGAGCTGGTGAAAGCTTCGCAACGTTTAAAGCTTTTTGTTTTAGAAACATTTCAGTTTTTCTGGGTGTGTTTCAAAACGAGTAGTCTTTCAAAAGATAAGCAAAAGTTTTTACTACTTAAAGCTCATCTTGTTAAGCTGTCACTATATAAAAAAAAATTTGACACTGCACCTATATGAAGCAGTATGTTTATTGATATTTATAGAATGCTATTTATTATATTTTTAAAGAACAAAAGCTGGAACATCCTTTCAATCCGTTTTGATTTTTTGAGTTTCTGCAGCGTTTCTATTTCTTTTCGATCTTGTGGTCTGTTGTTGTTGTTTTTTTTACCATTTTACATACTACATTTATAATGCTGTGTGGAAAATAGTGAACTGCTAGGAAAATTGCAATAAGCAAATGCAATAAATTTAATAATATTGCAAGATTGACTATTTACAAGCAGTACTAAATAAAAATATACAATCAAAACAAAAATACAAAATAATGATTAAACTACAAACGAAGATCAGCATTAGCATGTTTCCGTAAAAATAAAGCGAATAAAACTCAAACGCGTTTTGTGACACATTGTTTATATTATACGTATATACATATATAGTAATTGTATATGCATACATACAAATGCATGTAGCATATGTATAATAATTGTAATAATGAATATTAATAAATATTCTCTTGTAATTAATTAAAAGAAGAAAAATAAAATAAGTAAAATACGATATTCATCTACATAAATCTATATATTTCAACGGGTTTACAAAGGGTAAAAAATTACAAATTTAAATAAAAATTACAAAAATGTAAAAAAGTAAAAAAAAAATTAATAAGGGTATATGAAAAATAGTATGCATATTACTAAGAGAATAACTAATAAAATTAACTTAAAAAAATATATATACATATATATATTATTATTAAGCTACACTTGTAACAATAGCACTGTTTAATTTGAAAACGAATGAAAAGTATAATAAAAAATATACGAACATTTATTAAGTTGCATCAATTCTTGCATCAATGATAGTTAAGCATCAATTTTCAGAAATATTTTCTCATTGCTGTGCATTAAATGAAAGACTTTTATTATTTAATATATTTTTATTACTTTTGACAATATGTATGCCATTATAAAATAACGATATAAAATAAAACGAGAAGAAAAGCCAATGGCCTGCACAGGCGCCAACAAATTTACAGCCGTGAGAGCTATACCTACATAGTACTCGTATTATCATTCTACAAAGAGAGACTTTTTATCAGATAACCCGAGATATACGTTTTAGTTCAGTTCTCTTTTGTCTTTTCATCCTTAGATACATATGTATGTCCGAAATAGTAACGAAAGACTTTTAATAACCGTTGAACTAAAGAATTGTCATCCAAAGGCAGTATTACTCGGACTTACGACTATTTGAAAAGCATTTGTAAAAATAAATTAGTCTGTATAGTGTTCTCAGAAATTCCCGACCATTTTTTAATTTTTTCCTAAAATTGATCAAGTTTGTTGCTTAAGTCTTTTGTCTTAAGCTAGAAACATATAATAAAAAATGTTTACTTACTTATAAGCGCGCCATCTATGGATGGACTATTGTGACAGCTTTCACGATACATAAAACTGTATGGCAACCACGGCAAGAAAAGAGTTGTCAGTTGTTTTGTAAACAAAACGAAGGGGCAGCCTTAACAACATAAACAACCACTTTGAGCACAAAAGCACAACGGCTAAGTGCGAGAAATAAACATAACAACGGACAATGTAACCGGCTCGTCAAAAGTTTATAAAGTAGGTGTAACAAGGTTAAATAAGACGCATTTTTTATTAAAATTTGTTCGCTCCCAACTTATTAAAAAAATGTCAATAAAACGCGCGCAATACGATAGTAAATGTTATTGCAGCAGTGCTGCGTCAACATGTTGCAGCAATACTCATGCAAATTGCATCAAGCGCAAAACAACTGGCAGCGGAAGTATTTTCAGTGTTGCAAGCAAACGCGATAAACAGATTTTTAACACAAGAACAGCGGCGAAGAATAGACAAAATACAGATTTTGTTAAAATAAAAAGAAAAACAACTCTGCCCGCCGAGGTCAGCAAAAATCGCCGCGGACTCGGTCATACCAATTTGCATTGCACTACTAATTTTAGTCGACGCAATTCCGCCGCAACCACAGTAACATTTTCCACGCCTTGCGCCACGCCAGCCTCGTTTCACAGTTCGAATGCAATCGCGCCCTCGTTCGAAACGCCGTCGCCGTCTCCACTGTCCACAATTTTAAAGAATTTGCCCGTAAGTATGTCAACGCTGGGCGATAACTTTAGCGCGCTGAGCGTTTCGTCAAAAAGTGACCGCGGCAGCGATTGCGGCGACACGCTGCCGCACGAATACACCGAGCAACGGCGCTACTACGAGAGCGCAAAGCAGTTAATGAAGTTGATATCCGCACAGGGTGACAACTATGCCGCACTGAATCTCATCAGCGGCAGCGGTGTTGACGGTATTGCGGCCGCTGCTTGTGTGCGCGACGCGGAAGTGGAAGCGGAACGCTTGCGCCAATTACAAGAATTTCGTTTACAAAATGCTGAAGACTGCTTCAATGTACATCGACGATTAGATTTGCATTTGCCGATGCATAAAAACACATTGACGCCCGGTGGAATGGAACAACTGGTGTGTAAGCTACAACGGGAGACTTTATCGACGATGCAGGGTAAGATGGAGGGCTCGGACACAAAAGGAGTAAAAAGCGCAGTGGTTAAGGAGAACGCGAAGAAATCACAATTGCACAATAGTGCAATTACTCCATATGCAGTGCGTCAAAGATTATTAAAGCTACGCTTGGAAGCAGAGGAGTTGAAACGCGCGAAACCTGGTCCTAAGTACCGTCCATTGGAAAAAAGTTGTGCATTGCGTTATCAGGAGACCTACTAATCGACCACTGTCGAGAAACTTAGAGTATTAAAATGTATTAATGCACTTTGACTTTGGAAATAACCTTTACAATACATTTTTTTACAAATTTACAAAAATAAAATATATAATAATACCTATACATACATTTACATACATATAAGACTTAAGATTAAAAAACTAAAGTTTTCAATTTTAATCGAGATGCCTATTTACATACAGACTTATGTATTATATATGCTCATTATGGTACTGAAAAATTACATAATAATAAACATTATGACCACCAATGAAAGTTTTTTAAATTTAGGTTAGGTTGAATTAGAGAACTTCAAACAACTTCTTCATTTTCACTGGTTGGGTATGTAAGAGAGCAATGTTAAAATTTCACGAGGTAAATTCCATGGTTGTGAGGGAAATTTCTCGGTTCATATTTTACAAGTATTCGATATCGAATCTGGACCTTCTCATTGTTTGAAAATCTCTGGTTGACTCTGGTAGTGTATTTAAGTAAAATCTGTACCTAGTACAGTATTGTTGTAATTTGGAGAAAAAGGTAATGGTATGGTATTTCTGAAATGAAAACTGTTTCTTACGAGAACTAAGTTTTTTCCTCTGATATACATATATAAAAATGAGTATAGCTTCAGATTTACAAGTGTAAGAATAGAACTATGTCTATTGGCATCTAATCAATTTTAAAATGAACGAATCGATCTTGATGAGATTTTAAAACCCACTAGTTAGCGTCTGAGCTAAGTTATACGAAAAATCACATTTACGATCCAATTTTACTCATATTTGAAATAACTGAAAGAAGGAATAAATATCTATAATAAGAACTATTGTATGACAACCAAAGTAAAAGTACATAAACATTTCACTCACTTCGAACGTTAGCTGAAAAATTTTGATTGCTATCATTAACAATCATTTTCTTTTAGCTAGTTATTTTGCCCCTCAAACACGAATATATATTATTAATATAATATTTTCAATTAAAAAACATTATGAAAGTAAAAGCAACATATTCAGTTAAATGCAGAAATACAGTAAATGTTGTTGACAAGAATAAAAACAGTATCAAGGTTTAATGCGAAGGACGCTGAGTATGCATCCATCGAATAAGGTCAAGTGTACTACGGAGAGAGCGAGAATGTGAATGTGGCGCCAACTACATTAAACAACAATCACCAGTTGAAAGGTTAATGAACAGTAATTAAATAAGAACATACTTGAAACAGAAGGGCAAACGAAGATGACAATAAATGGGTTGACAGATTACTCGTACTACCTTCGCCCATATGCCTTGGCATGCCGAATGACTGGGAGTTCAATTGGTTGTTTATGGGGATCGGTAATATAATGTGATTAATTGGAATGCGTAACATACGAGAGTTTATCGAAATTTATAGGATATGTTCATTTGTGTGTGTAAAAAACAATAATTTATTTGCCTGGCGCTTAGTGATGACTACGAAGAGACGTGCTATGGCATGAATACCCTTCGTATATGCATTTATTCTTATATATTTCTTTATGCCTTTAGGGAAGTTAAAGATCACAAAGAAGCTGCAGTAAAAGTACCTCTCAGGTGTTTACTTTTTATGACGCACAAAGCACTGATCGCTGAATTTTTGTATATGTGTATGTACATATATATATTTTATACATACCTATGCATGCATAAAATGACACTATTCCATGTAAAAATGATATGTAAATCTATATATAATATAAAGATGCGTTCAAACATATTCGCATTTTATCGAAAACCTTTCAAATGCGGTATTGTGGGCGTTTAAAGTTTTGATGGAGGCCTATAGAGCTGTCTCATAGTTTTTTTGAGAATTATTTTCATGACAGGAATATTCCGAATATGCGTTGTCGAGAGTTCATTGGCAAACTCCGGTCATAAATTTATTTAATTTTCTTTGTATATTCTAAGAGAAAGAAGGAACATTAGGCAAGTATAATAACCAGCCGCCTCAAGTTATTATGTTCGTTTTTCTGGATTCAGTTTTTTTTATTAAACAATATACTTGGTCTTGAGATGTTCGATTCCGGATCTTTCTGATTGTACTTCCTAGATTGAAATGACGAAATATGACGAGAAAACGGAAAAGAAAGTGATTAATATGTAAACACTAAATGACCAAGCGCATGATTTAGTAATGGTAGGTTAGGTAATATCATTCTCTGTTGAAGGGTTCGAAATAGACGTGCACTGAATAAATTTCAAATATAAGAAAAGCTTCATACAAATATATCGAAGCCGTTGAGAGGCAGTTTCAAGTCTCCCTTAGCGTACAGAAGTATGTACATTTTTGAATAGGCGGAGCTCACAGGTTGCAAGTAAAGGCTAATTATTATTTTTAGTGTAGCCGAAGATATCTAGCGGTATTATAAATGCAGCCGTGTTGTGTCCGAAGTGGAGGAGCTTCAGTTACAAGAGCAGAGTTTTCATCAATCTCAGTATTGAAACGAGTTTATGTAGAGCAACAACATTTATTATGGAAGAGTTTTAAAATATAGGCTAAAGCTTAGCCGCTTGTATTAGCGCTCGAAATGGGCTATGCTCAAACGCCTAAAATATGCGGTAAACCAGATAATGTTTTTCTGAGTGCAACGGAAAAATACTATAATGTTGGTATAAGCGGTTTACATGGACATCATTATGGTTAAATATACTCGATCTGAAAACGATAACGACAAATAGACGAGAGTCACCAAAGCAATAGACAAAGGTCACCTAAGCACTGGCCAGGCGCGGTGCCTGTTTTACTTATATAGAGCTAGCTGGCAGCCAGCTTCCCGTGACGCCATCTTGTGACTTCACAAACACATCACATCGAAGCGTGAGAGTCCCCTAAGAACTGGCCAGGCACGGTGCCTGCTTTACTTATATAGAGCTAGCTGGCAGCCGGCCTCCCGTGACGCCACCTTGTGACTTCACAAACACATCACCTAAGCACGGGCAGTATTCTAAAAAAAAGAGCTCAGGGAAAAAGTACAATTGTCTGTTTCTTTTTGAATTTAAAGCCACTTTTATTAGCAGGTAGTCTTCAGCACTTGTAGTGTTAAACAGAAGAGCGGAAAATGGTATAATAAGGGACCAAATCTTCATTCAACATATGTAAGTAAATAGATGTTTTATTCAAAATGTTTCGTACTGCAGCGGTTTAGAGCTAACACTCCTAGCTACGCAAATAAGCTACATATAGTATGTACCGGGTTTTTCAATAAGAATGATATGTTTTCTGAATTTCGTCTCGGCAATTTTTAATATGCCATGATCTGTAATTTTCTGTCATTGTATAGAGTGATATTTACAATTTCATCATGAAAGATATACGCAAGAACAATGTTTAGTTTATGTAAAGTTCTAGTGCCAATAAGAAAAAGAACCACTTGAAGTAATGAAAATATTGCTGCTAGTCAGGCAAGTGTTGCTAAAGACCGCCATTTGTCGATTCCAAGTCGTTCTCAAACCACAATCTGGCGGATTCTGAGAAAGAGTTTATGCTCGCATCCATATAAAATTTTTCTCACTCAAGAATTGAGGCCATTGAACCACCGGAAACGTCGTTAAATTGCTGATTTTTCCTAGGAATAATTCGAAAACGATATCGAGTTTTTTTAAGAAAATCGTCTTCTCTGATAAGTTTCATTTTCATCTGAGTTATTCTCAATAGAGAGCGGTATAGATCAATGATAACCAACTTTTGCCACATATTACGTGCAAAAACCCAATTATGGCGAGAAAAGTTTATAGAATCGATTATTTGAAGAAATTGTGATATTGAATGGCCTCCAAGAAGTTGTGATTTAACGCCATTAGACTACTTCTTGTCAATTTATTTGAAGTCATTGGTCTTTAGCGATAAAGCAGACCTTCTAAACGCTTTGGAAGGCAATAGAATGTGTTAGTCATTGCATGCAATTTGATTTAGTGGAATAAGTAGTCGATAATTGGTTCATCGAACTCTTACCTACCAAAGAAGTCTTGGAGGCCATTTGAATAATGTTATATTCAAAACTTATTTGTATAAATATTATTATTTCACATTAAACAAAATCCATTTGAATTTCCTTAATAATTAGTGTGGTTTTTTTGTAAGAAATCGTATCACTCTTATTGGAAAACCCTGTATATGAACGCATGCGGTGGACGGCTCAAAAAGTTCACACGGCACGCGTTCATATGCACATCCAAATGTTTGTGTGTGTGTGAGCATATGTGAGAATGCATGGTGGCACTATGAAGCTGACGGATGGTGTGTTTACTTTTGTATTGCCGACTAGTTAGGTTGTCGGCAAAGCTGAAGCTTACTATAAAAGCCGCGCATGCGTCTAGCATCCCGTTCAATTTGTGTTGATAACTTGATGAAGACAGAACAGTGGCGTTGTTGGCGCGTTTATCCGGCAAATTCCAAAAAAAAATTTCGAAATAGCTTTTTAATTACTTGCAAGCGATAAAGGGTTTCAATCGAAATTAAGTTGAAAAAAATAATAAATATTTTAATAATAACAAAAATTTCCATGCAGGCAATCGTAAATTAAAACGTAATACTTTCGTGTGATTAACAAAAAAAAGTATAAAAAAACCTAAGGAAAAGTGAAATAACTTAAGAGTAATAAAATGTCGGCACGCATGCGCAACAAGTTACATAGTGACTTTAGCTTCAAGTTAACATTGCTGCCGTCAGTTTGGCTGTTGCTGTTTGTACAACTCGCAGTGCAATTGGCTAATACAGTTGCTGCCAAAGATTTGCGTAAGTTTCTCAGTTTTTTTTCGTTGTTGTTGCATATTTTTCGAACGTCTACAAATGATAAGTTTCGTAATTTACAACCGTAAACATTCGCTAAAACTGTAAAACGAACTGCAGAAGTGGCTAATATCTATGAAAAAAGCTAAGTGAATTATTTTAGCGAAAAAATTATGAAAAATACCTATAGAATTGAGTTAAGCAATTTCTAGAAATTTGTTAATTGATTTCTTAATTGATTACTGTCAGATGTTTGAATTTAAGTCTAGGTTTTTGAACACTTAAAAGGATTAAGATGGGTGGCTCATGAGACAAATTAGAATTAATGATTAAAATAAAGATCTTAGCTTTATATAAATATAGTTGCGAAGGACTAATGTATCGTTGTAATCACTCAGGGATTACTTCTTTCTGATAACGATATGAATCAAGCACGCACACAGGGGCTGAAAATTTGCTCTAATAAAATATTGAACAAAATAGTTGTTTCTATATCAAATATATATCAGTTGAAATATTTTTCCAAGAATTTCTTCAATGACCTTCAATTATAGAAAAAAACGAGTAAATTTGGAATTCCACTGCGAACTCGTAACAATTATGGGTGGTCCCGACTTATACGGACTTGATAGTTGGCAATTTATCAAATGATTATTTGGTTTCGCTGTCCACACTAATATTTATTGCATTTTTATGTACCCTTCTGTTCGAACTCGACACCTCTGAATATTTCATTTCAATCTATATTTATGTCTTACTTACGTCTTCGCATGCAAATTGCTTGTAATTTTCGCGAGTGTGAAGACAAAAAACACAATTGCGAAGCAATTTGAGTACCTTTACTGGATATGTAACGACATTATTCATATTTGGTATGGAGTTTTCGTCAAACTAATTTACGAACATTTAGGAAAAAGTGCCCATAAACTAATGTTCCAGATGACCTTGGCATTAAATTGTGTTTACACTTAGCTTATAAAATGGCTATTAATAAGCTTGCTTATAAAAAGTTTAGATCGCTTAATAAAGAGTTAATAATGGAAGTAATTAAGGATATTGTTCGATTACATGAAAGCAGGGAGATTAATTAAAATTATTAATTAAGTAAAAACTGATGAAGTAGTGTAAGGTTCGATAACAGATTTTAAATTACAATTTAAAATAGAAGTCTATGATTTGTAGAAGTATTAATGATAAAATCACGAATCTGTTAAACCTGGAACACATTTTGAAAGAAATAAAGTCAACGGTAAAATAACTAATTACTGAATTTAAGAGTAAATTGTAGTTCGTCAGTTGGTTTAACTTAATATACAAATATTCCAAAAGGGAGATAGAGAGCAAACAGTTAAGGGATCGTCTCAGTGTGACTCTCCGAAAAATCACAAATTTTCGCAATTTTTTATTCTAATGTTGCAATTAACTAATCGGTCCGATTTTTTTTTAGAAATAAATACATTCATGTTGAATACAAAATGATTTTTTTATGTTTATTTATTGGGTGTATAATGGTTAAAGAAGTAAAAAAAAGGACCTGTACGATGTCCACGATTGCGACCGCAATTTCGATCCAAAAATGTTAAAAAGATTATTCATCTGTAGGAAAGTTGCTATCTCGCTATGAAGGCTTTTTGGTTTTTTTTTTGTTTTTTAAATTGGAAAAATATTGAATTTGGCTTTTTTTCGTAGAACAAAATAGGAAAGTTTCAAAGAAAAAAGCGTCCATAGCGCGATAACGATTGACGTTAAACATGTTCTCTCCAAATTGGAACTAGATATCTTCAAAACTCTTTCTTTGAGAGTGGAAACCGTTTTGAAAAACACTTTTCTGAGAAATACGCGCTCAAAGATTAGAGTCGCTATGCTCCCCACTCTGTTCTCTTTCTACAAGAATCGCAGTAGCGACCGTAAAAATTTTAATTTCGAATGCAAAATTTGAGAGAAATTTTATTAAAGTGTATATATTCTCCGAAATTTCACACTGAGACGATCCCTTAACATATACTTACATATTCGGATCCAACTTTCAATAACTCTACTGCCTATCTTCAACAAAATATAAAGATAATGTTAGATAATGATTTAGAATATCGTTTAATTTGGGACAAATGGAACTGCTTATACTCGTTTGGAGTAATGGACCAATATACAATAATGCATAAATATATATTTAAAATAATCTAAAAGGTTCCCAATTTCTGATTCCCAGAAATAATTTTATGATTATTTTATTTATCCATGATAGCAACGTACTGAACTTACAGATAATTTCACATATTTTACGCATAGGGGTTTCATATAATCTCAGAAAGTTATAACGATTCAAAAAAAAAAAAAAAACTCACTGAGAATTGTAATTGAGTAAACTCATTTATGTACATATGTAATCCAACAATAATTTGTTTTAAACAAGGGTAAAAATTTATGATTTTACGATGCGTTGTGACAAGTTGTGAGTTCCCTAACTAAGTAATTTACTCTAACCTGCGCTGATTACATATTTATATAACATAATGGTGGGTCCTTTTTTATTGTATGCATACGTACTATTAAGTACTATACTTTGAAAATAGTAATTAGTTATAGGGTGCTTGAATATACTTAAGTATGCAGTTTTTAGCAAATATTTAATAGTTATGTATATATGTACCTAAACCTCTTTTGTTGCCCCCTCAGAGAAAATCAATGAATGCAATCGATGCACAACAACAGAATAACAACCATATTACAACATTATGTCATTTAATGAGCTTTTTCAGTCACTGAACTGGTTGACTGGGCAGTCGAAAAAGAGGCATAAACAAACCAACAAGGTTATTCCACTTTTAGACAGCATAACAAAAGCAAAGCTAGATAAGAGCGGTACTTATAAATGTCTTATCGGAGTGTACTCTCTATATACTATGTTTACCGCCCTACGGCTAAAACATACATACATACTCTTCCATAATAAATACATACATATGTATGTGGGTAAGAGTGCCTGCCTTCTAACCGAGCATTATATTGGATAAAAGCCAGCAAAAAACAACAAAAACATAAACACTAGTTTGGGCATCTCCAACCGGTCGTCGCTCATAAATATTTGTATGTATGTATTATGCATATACGGTCGGCAAGTTCGCGAACAAGAGTTCGTCTGTCTCACAACTGATTCGCTGCCGTCAGTCTACAACGCTGACAGCAGACTTAATGATAGACTTTAGATGAAGAAGCCGGCTATCTGGCTTGTTGTTATTTTGATTTTGATTTTTTTTATGGCTCCACCACCAACAACACGTGTTACTGAAATGAGAGCGGAACGTTGCTAATCAAGCGAGCAGGCCTTCAGCAGACCGTTAAATGGAACAATTTGCGCGAATTTTTTGTGACTGTGTGTGTATTTGTGAAAAATTACTTCCTGGTGTTGTCCTCAGCTTTTGGCTAATGGCTTCATCTGCCTTAATGTTTACGTTAATTGGCGATGACACAGTTCGCTGAAGTTATATGGCGAGAAATAAGATAAAAGAGAAAACATAGTAAAACCAATCATTAAAAAATAAAAAAATAAACGAGTTATTCGTAAGCATATTACCTTAGGTCGTGGCAAATATTGCTTGCTCAATATTGATATGTGAATATACTAGATATATCGTTGCTGTGTGATAAGAGAGTGACAAGAAATTTAACAACCATTTCTTGCAGTGATTGCCTTTTAATCCGATCCAAAGTTACTGAAACGAGCTTGAAAGCAAGATGTGGATGCAAGAACATAAGGCTATAGAAAATACTGCTGTAGGAAACAACTATTCCATTGCCTTGGTCAAAAAATGTCTCCTTCTGCGGCCATTTGGATTGTGATATGAGTTTATCTCGTGTTTACTACTTTTGAAATTCAAAAACCTTTTTTACCGATTTTTGTAAGCCAAAAGAAGAGCATTTCTGCATGATTGAGTAATTGAGTGAAGGAGCGAATTTAAAAAATCTCGTCTTACAGTTAGCAGCTTTAGGTTCGTTCAAAACTTTGAAGCCTCTTAAAATTTTGCCAAAATCTCGTTCTCAAGTGACATCAAACAAGGAATAATGTTTTTTATAAGTTTTTGTTTGTAAAATAACTAGTGAAATATATTTAAAATATTTTAAATTGAGATAAAAAAATATTTTCGTAGGTAACAAAATTTTCGCAAAAATTTGTGATTATTTTATGAATATTTAAGAATAATCAATAAATGTAAGCATATATTAAATAGTTTTACGTACACGCTTAACACACACACCCCACATAAATGTATTAGAAATATGAATTTTTATTAAAAAATGTAAAAGCTGTTAATTATTTAAATTTAATGAATAACACCAAGTTTATTACACCTTCAATTTTGCTTCTACCAAGTGTTGCTATAAAAGCTTAACAGCGTTGTTTTGTTGTTGCGATCCGTACTTCAACTTGACATTGAACCAAAAGCTGCCAAGCCATGCATTTTCGACATTGCGTTCACTGGGTCAAACTAGTTTTAATCTCTGTGTTATTAGCACGCCGCTCTATTTGTGTGAATGCTGCGAATACTTGCGTTATTACAGTTTTGTTGTTGTCTTCTGCTTAAAACGCATCTTCTTTGATTACTTATCGGTTACTGTTGTGTTGATTGTGACGGTGCTAATGAACTTTCCGAATTGTTCACATTTTATCGTAATCTCATAAGAGCGCATACCATTACTGAGGTTAGGTCGTGATTTGGGCATTTTTTCATTGGCGCTAAGTACTTACGAGTATCATGTCTTTTGTAGGCCTTGAGCGGCAACCTGTTTATATGCTCAAGTTTGACTGAAATTTATTTCCTGTATTTTGCACAGATTGAGTGTGTTAAATTGGAAGTAATAAATACAATTTATTGTTGGCATCGGTAGAATGCGACTAGTTCCGACGCTTCTCAGCTCTGTCAGTTACTGTACGTGTATATAAATTAAATTTATATCGAGAAATTTTATAAAACCAAATACACATTTGATAATCATCAAATATTATATTAATTTTTTACCATATCACTATATTATATTAAAATATTTCAAAATATTTGGTGTAAAGCGTCGAAAAAATCGACTTTAAACTTACTTTACTTTTCTGAATTGAAAATATCTAAATTTATCATTTTAAAATCGATTAAAGAATAAAATCGGAGGGTTGAAGGTTCATACCTATTGAAACTTGCAGAGTATGTATGTATGTGAGAACATTTGTATAGTGGGCCTCATTTATTATAAGCGTGACTCAATTTATATTTGGATTCCTTAAAGATAAAACTTTAATTTTTCTATAATATGCAGTTTTGAAAGGATTTAATTTCTACAAAAAAATAATGAAAAAAAAAATGACTCAAAATGTACTCGCAAATGGCTCTAAATATCCATACGTATGTTAAATAATTATGATGGAGACACGCTGGACATAAATCAATTTTTGTAAATCTTAATTTAACGTTGCGCACGATTAGCTATCTTCTCAATGTTGGCAATTCTTACAAAAAATAGCTGTGTACACGTATTTTAAACACGTTCGCGGCATTGTGCGGGCTTTTAGCAGATGCTAAAACAATATAAATTTATATACATTTTTTATACTTATGTACTCATATACATATGTATATATGAATGTATGTTTTAAATTCACAAAAAGAATAGCTCATTATTCTTTCTGAGTGTCGCACTTCCGTAGTTTGTATGCAGAGGAGTTTGCGACTTATTTATGTGTACTATTGTACGCGTGCTATTAAAAGCTAAAAAGCATTTGAATAAAGAAAATATGCACAAAGCATTTACATAATTCGTTCTTTAAATCATAATTATAGCAGCAAGCTGTGTTACATACACATATGTATGTTCTTATTTAAGCCCATTTGTTGGGTTCAAGGACTATTATTTTAAAAGCTTATAGCTTTAGAACCCTTAATTATTCGATAGCATTATAAAAAATAATTTAAAAAATGTGTTAACTACGTGTTTAGTATGCTTTATTCACACAATTGGATAATAATATAAATTCCTCTGAAAATTCAAACACATTCTAAAGGCTTCCTTTTATTTTTATTTTTTATTTTAGCGTCAACTTTTGACAAGTGCAAACGCGATGCGAACTTTGACAAATGCCTTGTGGATGCTGTAAACAATGCTATCTTGCTGCTCAAGGATGGTAAAATATTATTTTTTTCTTAAAATTAATTTTCCATAAGAAACTATTGATATTTACACAACTTTCAGGCAACAAGGAGTTCGGCATACCACCACTAGAACCACTCGCTGTTAAATCGCTGGTCATCGACTCCGGCAATGCACCAATTACGTTAAAGCAAACGATGAAAAATTTGCTAGTGCATGACATGATCTCGACCAGCAAAGTACAACGATATCGGTATGCTTAAATTGCAATTAAAACCAAACACCTTTTCAACTAATTTTTTTCTTCTTAATATTTAGCACTGATCTAAACAATCATCTGATTATTTGCGACAGTAAAACCGATCGTATTGAAATGGTGGGCGATTATGAAATGTCAGGACGCATACTACTATTACCTATAACGGGTAATGGCAAGGCGAATTTAACATTGATCAACACTCGTATCGAACATCGTCTCATTGGTGAACCTTTCATGCGCGATGGCGTTAAATATATGCGCTTGAAAGAGTATCGTGTAGATTTGAATCCAAAACGTGTTTATATGCAATTTGATAATCTCTTCAATGATCGTTTACTCTCACAAACAATGAATCGTTTTCTGAATGACAATTGGGAGACGGTGTTCAATGAGCTAAAAGTTGGCTACGCAAGTAGTTTTGGTAAAATTTTCCGTGATATATCGAATAAGTTATTTGAAGAGATACCTTTCGATTCAATATTCTTGAGTTCTTGAACCCGTAGCACACTAAAGTAAGGGTGCATCTAAAAAACAATAGCTGGGTATTTTGCTTTTAATATTTAATAAGAAGTTATAAGAATGTGAGTGAGAACTTTAAATTGAGTTATTTTTGAATTTATTATGTGTAGTTATTTATAAGTGTATAAATTAAAGAAAACAAATTGTAAGTTTATATAGTATATAAAATATATATGTATGTACCTATGTATATAAAATGTTTTATTTATACATTTTTGCTACGGATACAAGGTTCTTATAAAATATTAAAACCGACTAACGGTTTTGCTTGCTGGTTGTTCTTATAACCTAAAAATTTTTGTTCAAAGGCTGACTGTGTAGGTTACGAGGAGCGGTAATAAATGGAATGTTAAGGAATACTTTAAATTGTAGTATCAATGGTTAAATGTAATAATGTTAAAATTTCAACCAAGATGTTGCAGAAAATCCATATATTATTACATAGATTATTGCATTTCGCATTTACGTGTGTGTATTTGTGTATGTATGCTGTACTTCCATTTGACTGATGTGTATTTACATTTTATGCATGCTCAGATCAAAATATATTTAAGCTTTTTTAGTACCAGCATACTTTTGCGCTGCATGTACATTTGTAAATCCGTATGTATACACGCATATAGAGTTAGAGTAGACTCAGACGCTATCACCAAGCTGATAGGCTATATGCTTGTAAGAGGTTATGTTCGGCGAATCTAACAATGAATATTTTGTAATTAAATTAGATGTGGCTCTTGGTATGTAGTTGTCAACTTTTCCTAATTGAAATTCTTTAAACAAAATACCACGTACCTTTGCTTAGTTCTTTTGTATAAAGACTGAAAGCTGTAAACTGGTAATGATCAGTGAATTCCTTGACGATTTTAACTCAGGAAACATTTTTTTTAACATTTTATACACTACTTTCTGTTTGCACTACTTGAGCATTTTACATTTGAGAAGAATAACAATAACAAATATCACATTTTAAACCATATAGATTTACTAAATTTCACAAATTTGCTTTTATTATAAGTATGTCTTATTTAAAAAGAAAGAAGTCAAACTACGGTTATTACCGCCTAAAGCATTTCCTTGCGTCAATTTTTCGAATCAGCTGTTCAGAGTATAACACTTTGCTTCAATTCACCACTCGAATACAACGCTGGGCGGTGCACACCAAAACAAACCTACCAACACAGCCAAAAATTACATATATACACTTCCATGGATTTCCAATTTGCTTTTGTTACCATTTTCGCACCTTTCGCTCACCAATCGCTGCTGTTAAATGGTTCTTCTGTTTCTTCTTCAGTTAGTTCGTTTCATTTGTGTGTTCGTCTCGTAGACGGAGCTAAATTCGATTTTTGATCGTTTTGGTTTGGTGAAAAAATTTTGTGTAAATCGATATTATTGTGAATTATTAGAAAACAAATCGGAAGGAGATTATGCACAAAACGGAATGTAAGTGAAAATGTGTTGAAATCTCTATATTACTAAAAAAATAAAAAGTTGTAGTGAAAAATGTAAAGGAGTTTGCATTTATATGTAAGAGAAAAGTGATAAAAAGTGCCGAAAACTTGAAATATTTGCATTTAGCAATAACATAAAACGTCATTGGTGTGCAGTGAGACATATTGAAGTTGAAGCAATCAGGAAAAATCGAAATGAAAATCAATTTTCTATCTACTCAGTGTGCCTGTTTATAGCAATCACTTCAGTTCGAGAGCTCAATATCTAGATGTAGCTTTAAGTAAAACTTATACGTACCTGTGAGTCACTAAATAAAAGTAATGTATTCCTTTACGAAATATTTATATAAAAAAATTGAAAAATTTGCTGACAGCGCCTTGCGGTAAATTCACCCGCTAAATCGCCGCACCTCCAGTGGACTTGTGCATGTTTGCATGTGTGTTTCTGTTTTCGGTATTGTTACGCGCACGCCCGTTCAACATCGACCAGCCTTTGCAAGTCGTTTCTTTACGGAGTACCTACCTACATTTTCGGCAACGTTAAAGTGTGTAAAAAAGTGCTTATTCCATTCTCGTCCAAAAATACGTAAATATGCTACAAACTTTATGCAAGGAATGGAATAGATAAAGCAAATAAGAAGCGGGTGGGGGGGTGCGTCATTGAGGTCGTTCCACTACGTCGACGAATGTTTTGTTTGTGCGCGCAAGGCTGCGTCGCTGCAAAAGATAATAAAGACAACAATCGTCGCAAGTTGTGTTGACAAAAATGAATCTTTAATTCTGGAGCCAATCGAAACGAAAAGTGATATGAGTTATTTATATACTGTCGCTGTCTTATCAGTGGGAAAAGTAACTTTTATCATCCTGTTGATGCAAAAAACGAAAAAATAACATTCTTGTATGCTGTCAGTTCCTACCTTTTGCCATATCTATGCTTTTGCATTGTGTCCTCTTCTTCCCTCTGTTTTTTGACATTTGTGATCCTCCGCTTGCTCACATTCTTTATGTGTGTGTTTGTATGTACATCCATATAAAACTGTGGTAGCAACAGGAAGGCATGGTGAAAAATATTTTGTGTTCATTTTTCTTCTGTATGTTGTATTTCTTTTCGGTGGTTTTGATAAACAAAATTATTTTACCACTTATTATTGCATTATTCCAAATTTATAATTTATATGTATTGGCAATGAATAAATTTTAATTTTTTATTATTTGTTAAATTTTTTTTGTTTGTAGCTGCCTTTTGTGAAAACCTTATAAGAATCTTATCTTGATTAAATAATGCAATATTATCGTAAAAAACTAATCTCCTTAATAATTTTGCGGATTGTTCGTTTTTACGTCGTTAATGTTACGTTAATATATTTTAGCTGATGTTTAAAAATTATCGGGTATTTAACAGCGCGTGTGATTGTTCTAATTTGACACCCACTAGTTATTAAAGCCTTCTGTGCACTTGACATTTGGAAACTAGTTATAATTTGACAGCTTCCGCCATTTATTTAGTATACGCTGAATTTAAACCGCGTTTTTTTTAATATAAATTGTAAATAATTTAGAAAGAAAAACATATTTTTGGTCAAAAGTTATTAAAGATTTTTTTTATGTGAAAATATCATGCTTTATTGATTTTATTATAAAGTTCGTGTAAAGTATCCATTAACTTTGTAACCGTTATGTCACCCAATTGCATATGTTCATCAGTATATCCGGGTAAGGACAGTCATTTATTTCCACTATATTATTTGCAAAAGATGTAACAGGAACAGAGTTTATGCTTAAAGTATTATAGTATCTGACATAGAAGCAAATTGGATTACTTCGCCATTATAATACCAAGTACACTTAGTAGGAAAAAAAATATTTTTCAATGGGTTTGAATAAAAAAGGAATGGCATAAGTATGAAAATAAGTTTTCTTTTGAATGTACATACATATGTATGCATGTACGTACATATAGGTATGTGCATACGCCAAGAAACGCTAATAGCAAGAGTGTATATGCACATAAATAGCACTATAATCATTTCTTAAGCCAGTACTGGAAATCCTTCAACCGTGAACCAAGCGAGTAAAGCTCGTAAAACCTGTACTAATTTTAGCTATTAGTATCTGCGTTAATTTTACTTTCTAGTTTATGCATATTTTCAGTGATTTAAAATGCTCTTTTTAATTACCTCTCTTGGTTTATGATCCTTTCTATGCTATTGCATAATAAATGAAATAATTTCTAGAAAATAATTATTTTACCTTAATAAAACATATACATAGTACATATATGTATGTATTATCGTTTTTGTATACTCTTGTAACATGTTGCTATGGCGTATAAGATTTTTGATCACTTAACGGTTGTATGTATTACATAAAACTAATCGAGATGTATATGTGTATAGGCTTATATTTGTACATACATACATATATAAATAAATGATCAGGATGACGTGATGAGTTGAACTCTGTGTGACAGTCTGTCTGCCCGTCAGTGCAAGTTGTAACTTGAGAAAAAATGAAGACATCTTGATGAAACTTGGAACACATTTTTACGAAGGGTACGTGAATATTTTGAAAAGTGTATCTGTTGCCCTGCTCTCTTATAGGTTTAATTTACATATTTCCTAAATCACTTAAGCCAAAATAACTAATTTCACTCAAAAGAAATCATATAAGAAGCTCCTACTCCCCATATAACGGTACTGTAAAAACACCTAGAAGCCCCCGATAAATAATAAAAATTCTAGATACAGTAAATATTACCACTGACATGGTATTAGACAGCTTTATAAGAACCAGTGTTAAATTTGGAAATCCCATATTTTGAGAACTTCTCAACCGATTTCAACCAAATTTGGTATTTGATATTTTACCGTTCCTATCTCAAAGTGCAAAATCGTCCAAATTGGTCCACAATCATGTCTACTTCCCATATTGCACAATTTTAAATTCAATTTGATTCTTTTCCTTTCCAGTAGAAAAATTAAGAACCAAATAATATAACGGAAAAAAATTTTGCACTAATAATTCGTAGTAAACCACCTTATTACCAAAAATTGTAAAAATGCCACAAAAACTGGATAAGTCTTTTGGTATAAAATATGTGGACCCCAGTTTCTATAGTTGACTTTATATACAATTACAATTGAAATTCAGAGATAATCTTTTCCTGATAATAGTTTCCCTGCGTATAAAAAATGGGTTTAATCGGATCAATATTTCCCTGAGCCCGAAATTTACCCAATATAAATATTTTTGAACTTCCCGGTGACTATACCGCATATGTATATCCCCAATATGTGAGTTATTGCAATGAAAATGCGAGAGCAAGTTTTAGTCATAGCAGTGTATAGAATATTTGTGCCTAAAACGTATAGATTTGAGGGAAAACTTGATCTAGCCCCCACATAACTAATATAAGTATTTTTAAACATTCGCCTGACTTTACTCCATATGATTTTTTACTGTATGTGAAGTACCTTAATAAAACCCAGGCAACATTTTTTTATTTTTAATTTAATGGTAAGCTAATCTAAACTTTAATGTATGCTTTATATATGTATATTTTTTATGCTAAATATGTAATGGCATGTTCACTTGAGTGTAATATGTTTTAAACCAATATTAGGTGAGTTGTTTTTTTCTAATTTTACCGAAGGTTGGAATAAAATATTTATATCTTATTGTTTAATACTTAAAAAGATTTTTTTTTATAAAGCTTCTACTTCTTTTTCAGCCGGTGTATGCACCCATTTGTGTATGTATATCCATATTCGTGGTTATATGCCATAACAAATCATATGTACATACGTATATACATTTATATGTACATATACATATKTATATATGTATGTATGTGAGTGCTTACTCGAAAGTGGGGGTGTGAGGTATGCTTTGATTTTTACGCGTAAGGCCAAATGTAAATGCACTTTCCATGTTACGCCCTATGTCGCTCAAAGGCCAAAACAAGTAGTGAAAATTCCAAAACAAGAGCTTAAGTCGAGGCAAAAGCTCAGTTGCCGAAGTTGTTGTAGGTACGCAAGGAAAAATGTACTTAAATATTGTGAATACATACATATGTACGCATGTATATGTATGTTAGGGTGTTCGTTATTTTTGGAGTAGATTTTGTTTTGCAAAGGTCCCCTGCAGTTGTAATTAATTAGTTACAATTTAAACCTTGCCTAAAATATATTTCTTTCCGCATGCATAAATCGCATTTTTAATATTTTGCATTAAACAAGTAAACGTAAAACCTTTAAAATATAATAAATGTCTTAATGATTTTTCCTATAAAAACACTCCTTTAAAAGCAATTCACAGTAATAGTTATACATTAGTAGAGCGTAAAGTTTTCTCTTATAATATAATTTTCTTCAGTATAAAAATGTTTTTTTTGGAGATAAACAAATTTATTGCAAATGTCACAATCCTCCTGGTTAAATGTATATAAAAGGTAAATAGTTTAGACACAGTTTAAACTGAAACTAAAGAGCTTGTTTGCGTCGAATCCATTTTTTAGGACAAAAACTGAAGAAAATCCAAACAAAAAAAATCTACTTGGTAAATAATGAACACATAATGTACACATAAGAAAATTAAAAGATCTAAACACAAAATGCAAACAAACAATCGCTGATATATAATTTAGTTTTGTGTACGCGTTCCTCCAGTTAAATAAATAAGAAAATATTTATACAATTAATTTTTTAGTTTTAATTTTGAATTTTTATGCTGAACGCGCAAATTCCATCGCACGCCAGACGTTTAATTCTGACTTATTATTATAACTTTTAACCCACAAATGAACGTAAACGTAAACTCACAAATGTCGCCAACAACAAAGAAAAGAATGTGTTCTTTGCTACTCGAGGCTTAAGCTTACCTACGTACACACGTGAAGAATTCTTTGTTATTGCTATATTTTTTGTGTCTCTGCCCCTTATCATTTTTTTGAAGTCTTATTTGCTTTGATTACTTTTGGTCTCATTTCTTSTTTGTTATTTATTTATTTTATTTTAGTATTTTTATTTTTATTCACTTTTTGTTATTTTATAGTAATTTCTCTTTTCTGTTTGCTCGTTTTGGTATTGACACAAATAATATGTGTTGCTTCTGTTGCTTCGCCTGTATATGGAACGTGCGCACGTTGTTGTTGTAAATAGTTGTTGGCTGTTAACGCGTTAAGTTTGACTTAAGCTTTAGCTTTAGCTGTAGCTGGAGCTCAAGCTCGTTCTTGGTATGTATTCCAAGCGAGCAGCTCGGATATATGTATGGGCATATGTACATATGAAGGCGTTTGTGGC